TTCAGAGGGGTAGGTATACCACCAACCAGATAATGTTGGGTAATTATGGGGGAAACTTCGTGGAACTTCCTGAAACTTAGTGAAGAGTGAAACCGGTGTGAATGATGGGGATAATTGTTGGGTAACAATAGCGATAGTGAATGATTATGGTAATAAGTAATAATTATTAACAATTGACTATTAGAGTTAAGTATGATAATGGTATAACCTTTTCTGAGTTTTCTGTCACTGTGGATAGCCAACGTTTGATGATAATAGGTTAGTAGGTTCACTAGTTTAGTGGGATGGTACTTGTCTATCATTTTGGGGAGGTTTACTATTGGAGGTAAAAATGGGATATTTCCTGGTGAATCGGCAAGAACAGTGGATTTCATCATTGAAACCACATGAGAATTAAATCCATGTAATGCGAATGAGATCTGATTGGTGATTTGAATGTTACCAAATTAGATTGCATTCTGATTGTTGAAAGACATTATCTATTTGCAGAAAATGAATGGATTATCAAAGTGGCTGTTTCTTTTGCCAGAAATTGATGTGGGTGTCAAGTTGCTAATCGGATATTTAAGCAGCAGTTATTGGGATTTTACCGGATTGCATGGAACAATACAGTTGTACAAGTTGTACATAGTTGTACTATCCAATGTTACATACCACAATTTGAGTAGTGAAATGAGGGTATATCCGGTATATCCTCTATTGGTTCATGGCAACCAATCAGTTTGTGCCATGGTTCCTGGGGTCGCACGATGCTGAAAGGCTGAGGAGATCTTAATTCCACCTTGGTGCATGCTGAGGTCTCCGGTGGCTGGGCCCACTGGGCCCACTGGGCCCAGTGGCTTGGTGAAGCCCAGCTATGTACCACCGGACTCCAATCCACGGCCACAAGATGTGCATAGCCTGATGCCAGAGACTTGGCGAACGGATGGGACACCTGGGTCACCTGGACTGATGCCAGCGATATATTGAAATCTTCCCATGTGTTAACACTTTGGGAATTGAAATAGAACAAAATTGATTAAAATAGTATGTATTTGAAGGATCGCCCCACTGCCCGTAACTGGTTAGCAACCTTGGTCACTGAGTCCCCTCAGTGGTATCCGATCTATAAATGGGTTACCGGTAATAACTGCCATGGTTACTAGTCACACACACACACATATATATAATACCCCTAAGTTGATCCTCTATAAAATGCCGATGCTTTGACTCTATAAAATGCTGTTCCGGGACCCATTTTATAGAGGACTGGCTTGGCTGTCTATAAAATGCCCCTCCAGAGCTCCCTATTTTATCATTTTATAGAGAGCTTCCTTCCCAGCATGAAAGATGATAGAGAGGTACAAGACGTTGCAGATAGATTATGCATTTTATAGGGGGGATTCTTTCCAAAATGTTACCGTCAAAAAATAAGTACCACAAATGGCTTTGTTGGTAGTTTTTTTTGGGAAAACATTCGTATAAATACATACATTTATATATACATACTTAATAGATAGATAGATAGATCTGCACAAATTTTAACATTTCACTATGGTACAAAAGCAACTTTTTTCATTTTGCATCATTTTCCCCACTGATTTTCTCCCGTTGCATCATTTTTCATTTTGTCTCCACACTTCCGGCTGAAACCTCGGCTCGCTGGCGTTTGTCGAGTCGGGGTTCCGCCAACGCGCGCGCGCGCGTTGGTGGAAAGGCGGAAAGACTGGGTTGTTGCCCGATGTCGCGCTACGTGTTTTTGCACACGCGTCGTCTGCGGAGAAGCATTTCATAGAGATGACGGAGAGGTCATTTCATAGAGGGTTCCCACTTGCTGTCTATATGCTGGCTGACGGATGACCATTTTATAGCCAATTTTCTCTATAAAATGCTTCGTAAAGCATCCTATAGGGAACAAGTAAGGGGTATTATATATATATATAATCAAATACATACATATTCAAGTATAGCGATTCCCGAAGTAGCCAAGCACCGCGGAGGGTGCTGATTGGTTGGAATCATAACATTGCCATGATTGTGGGTAACTTGCCAATTTTGCTATATATAGTTCATATTAGGTATTAATACCTCCTTTTTTCCCGTGAGCGTCTGAGCGAAGGGTTCTTCTAATACTGGGGGTCTGTCAAACATTTTCACATCTTCAAATCTTCACATCTTCTCATCCTCACACCCTCACATCTTCACATCCTCACATCTCCACATGTTCTCATCTTCACATCTTCAAATCTTCACATTTTCTCATCCTCACATCCTCACATCTTCACATCCTCACATCTCCACATCTTCTCATCTTCACATCTGCTCATCTTCACATCTTCTCATCTTCACATCTTTCTTCACATCTTCTCATCTTCACATCTTCACATCTTCAAATCCTCACATCTTCACATCTTCACATCTTCACATTCTCTCTTGCCCTCTTGCTCTCTTGCCCTTTTGCTTTCTCCTTCTTTTCTATTTCTCTCTTAAGGCGCGGGGCAGTGCCAACGAGACGGCACGAAACGCAACCCTTTCGCACGAAACGAGGTTCGATCGCCAAAAACTAAGGTGAAATTGCGATTTTGAGTGTGTAAACGCGTCTGTGTGTAAAAGTTTCTGTGTGTAAAAGCTTCACCTACAATGTCTTTGATAGTACTTATTACAAGAGAGTAACATGCTCTTCTACGCTCTCGGGCCATCCGTCGTCTAGTTAATCTCTCCCGGTAAATATTGGGGTACCGGAACATGTCCAAGATTTTAAGTATTGCCGAACAAACTGCGTCTATAATTGAAAACAACTTTACTGAAAACAAACAAGTAGTGCTGAACAAAGTGTCTAATTACGACTTGAAAAGAGAGTACGTTTCCGATTGAAGAATCTAACCCCAAAAGTTGGCATACTTTGTTCACCGGGGGATGGCTTTCACCCAGGATTTGGTGAGCCCTCTTCAACCAGAGACGGACCTGAGGCCACGCCTTGCCCTCGCGAAGGAATGATGCTTCGGAGGGGGGTCATAATCTGATAAGGTGGCTTAAGTATGCCTCAGTCATCTTAAGTCCAGAGAATTTAGGATTTATCGAAGAGCATAGTGACTGGTATCCCACTCCTAGCCATGAGTCATGGGCCATGAGTTCGTCAGAGATCATCCAGTCAGAGTGGTTTGATGCTGAGATTGATGGGGGAAGGAATGGGTTTTGTTCACCCCGTTGCGGTGTTCAAAGGAACCCGCATTCAAAAGAAGCGCATTCGATTCTTAGTTGTACCATGTTCACTGGCCATTTCAGGTAACTAAATTGGAGGTACCTACCATGTATAAGGCCTCTGTAAGGGAATTACTTAAGGCAATATCCCCACAAAATATGGTTTTATATGAATATGGTACAGTACCTCCATTTTAGGATCCTGAAAATCCCACTGACATGTTGTACTCTCATTTCTTAATTCTTCCCAGAATCTGCTGACATGCCCATGGTTGTTTATCATTGTACAATCCCCATGGTCATCGCCCCATGTGGCCCGTATCGCGGCAGTCATGGCACCTTGCGCGATCCATTTTCCGAACTGCTGCGTCCTGCAACCTGGATGGGAAAGTTGGCCGGGCCAATCGAGGAGTTCACCATCAAGAGCGGTTAAAAGATGGGATTATATACATCATTTGAATCATGTGGCTAAGTAATGTTAAGTATGGTTACATCCAAATGGGTAGTTTTGTTGATATATATATATAAATAGATATGATTTGTTTATACTCGTAGCTAAATATATGGTCCATTGAACAGGAAGTGCATCTCCAGCACCGATGTCAGGCCCCACAATACATGGCCTTTGGCAATTTAGCTATTGAATGGCCCATATATTTAAAATAGGAACCCCCCCTGAAAGAGAGAAAAGCACTTCCAGGATATGAAAAAGGTGATGTGTACCAACATGTCTATCTTTTTGGGGAGTGCTTTATCGTTTTAACAATTCTATTTTCCATAGCGAAATGCGAAGTTGCCAAAGGGATCCAAAGGGTAGCTTTCGTTTTTCACGACATGATTTTTCTGCCAATGATGAATCGGTGGTTTGGCTTGGCTTGGAATCTCATGCAGTCCCGGGAGTTTCCTGGGGCAGTTTCAGGCCAATCCAACAATCCAAAGCACCAAATTCGCCACAGCTGGTTGGATTTTGGGTCCCTTAAGGAGACCATGCAGCCGATCTATTTGCTGCCCATCAGCAACGGCATCAAACAGCTCTTTACCTTCTTCGTGCCGCTGGGTTTTCTCGATGAGTGCGTCCCTGAGTCCATTGGAGATCACTAGGCTAATAACTAACACAGATGTAGAAAAAACATCGTTCTCCGGGAAAATAGCCTATACAAATTACAAATGGTTGATTGTCCACATCTATGCGAGTTTACCTGAGGGTAATCATCATCTGTCCCATTGAAATGACAATTTTGGGATTTCAAATGTGTTTCAACATGTGTAGAAGTGGGAAACAAAACTGTTGCTGGTTTGATCACATTAATTTTTAATTAGCGGGAAACGTTATTCTTAAGTCATCAACTATCCTGTCCTTGTTTGGCTATTTTTTTGCCATTTGGTAGAAGAGATCAGGTTCAATGATAATGATGTTTGAGACCTTTGCGTCTTCGTATTTCACGGTAGCGTGCCTGAGCACATCCACAAGCACTTGTTCGAGCTGAAAGGATACGTAGTCCGCATTAGATTTCTTTTCTGGAGCAAATACTGAAGAAACCAAGATCTAGGTTTAAAAAACATTTTAAAACCACTCTAGGTGATTCCAAGATTTGGAAGATGTCCATGTAAGATTCTGCGGACCCCAGTTTTTTCTATACCTGTATGTTTCACATTGTTTGCTGGCAAAGCATCCTGCCTACAGACCACGCTGTACTTGGCAGTTGCACCTCAGGTTCGGCTTCGATCTGAAGTTTCAACCAAAGAAGGGCACTTGGAAGACCAAGGTCATGACCCTTGGCATGAAGCAATGCGTATGGCAATGGGGATGGGTCAAGTTACGGATGAAATTACATGAAGCGACTGGGGGAATCCACATCCAGCTATACCAGCTACAACTTAGGGGACCGTTTGGGCGGGGGACCCATATGAGAAGGGAGCGGAGCTAATCAATGAGGCTATCGGCTATCGTTACGAATGGCCCTGAGGTTGCCTGGCAAGGTGAACCCTACAGAAACCCGGGCTGTAAGCCACACCATCTCAACAAGGGGTTGAGCGAAAAATTGTGCGGATGGAACAACATTGCGCCAGTTGAAAACTGTTGGTAACTACGAAACACTGTAAAGAATGGGATTATAGCGGGATCAACCATCTACCAACTGGTGCAGGATTTCTTCATATTTCTTCCATCCACAGTATCACTCTTTCTCACCCTACAGTCATTTGACCAAAAGACATCAGATGATCAATGACTACGCTACTTTCCAGTGAACCAACCCATATCTGGCAAGCCGCCTGGCTCACAAGGGTGGAAGGGGAGGTCCAACCCAAGACTTCAGATGCAGCATTTCACCACAGCTTTCCAGGTGCCATGGCAGAACATGATTGCCATTGGCATCCCATTTTGAGGTGCCATGGCTTCCCATGCCAGTATCCATGAGCCATGATTGACAATTATTAAAATTTAAAATATTATAAACCATTATTATATCCATATAAACCCATTATATTTCATCCCTAAACACCATCATTATTATTATAAACCCATTATCCCATAGGATCCATGTATGCTATATATGGTAACATTTACCATCAGTATACCCCAAATGTTAGCATATATACCATACATGGATCCTATGGGTTATTGTAAACCCATTATAGATAGACGCATTATATTCTTATATCCCCATGCTGTTCCGGCCCCTTTGGGGCCCTTGGGGCCCCTGGGATTTTCCGAGGAAGTTCATCGTCAGCAGCTTCGTCAAAGTGCACCTTGGCGTTCTGAGCTTCGGATCGCGGACGGGCTGGGGCGTACGCGACCGTGGAGAAAAAAAAACGTGAAAATCAGAGGTATAGTAACATTAACTAACATTAACTATATGGAAAATAAACGGCCATGTATAGTTGTTTTTACCTACTAACAGGATCTAACAGGCTGATTTTCCATAGCTATATGTTAGTTTGGCAAACTTTAAATCATCGAACTAAACATTAGTTTAGACATGCTTTTGGGCTCGTAAACTTTGAAATTACCAGACAAAAACTTACTCAGTGTTTTGACACTGTTTGTAATTCGGTGGACTTCTAATTACCCGGGTTTGAAGATGCAGGTTCGGGCATTGAAAACAAGCCAACATAATCAACGATACTTATTCTCGCGAAGGAAACAACTAGCCATTCTGAAGGTCACTCTTGAAGCCAACCTGTTTGACATAGGCCTAGCATACCTGTCAGAAAACAAACATGGGTGGCGCGAAAATGTACCATAAATGGGCATATAAACAGAAAAATATTGGTAAAACATCTATAAAACGGATTAAAACGGGCAACTTTTGATGATTTCTTTGCTGAATGTGGTGCTTTCGATGTCCAGGGTTTTTAGTTGCGTCTCAGAGACCCGTCCGCTGTCCGCTGAGGGCTTTCATCGCCTTGGCGGTCAACTCGATGATCCACGACTATCACAGGTCCCAGATTTCTCCTCGCCAAATCTCAATTGCCCGGATTTTTTCATGAATTTAGGATTTGAGCATGGTTGCTTTTTACGCAACCATTTCTCACCATTTGGTTTGCCACCATATTCAGCATGGAATTTCTCATCGGATAACCCTCATCACAAGCTCAGATTTGTGAATCCCAATTGGGCAATACACAACGGTTTTGTACCGAACCTTTGGCAAAACTTTGTAATGTTTCCCTATATTTCCAGAATTTTCCAGACAACTGTTATAGCTTGTAATTATGAATCCACAAAACTTATCAAATAAATTGATTTGAATTGACATAATTTGATATAATTTGCAGAATTGAAATAAATAAACACATGTTTTACCGCAAGGCCAAATAAGAGAGTAGAAGCTTTTTCTATCAGAGTCTATCACTTTATGTTGGTGGGATCCTACTTGTCTAACATCAACTCCCATTTTATCAAAGCGGGTCCAACACCAGGTTCCGTCGGAGGGATGATCTGACCGACACCAGCTACAACGAGATTTTGACGCTGATGGCTGCGGCTGGGCGTCATGTTGACCCCGGTGATTCCGCAAAGAGTGAGATGTATCCGTCTTGGCGTCATGTTTCATATCCCTGAACTCAACGGATGTTTTAGAGGGACAATCATTGAACTAGCCTTTGGTTATCGAACGGTTTGCTATGGAAAGTCACCATTTTTGACAGGTAAATCATGTGTGTATCATCTATGGGCCATTTAACCAGGGGTCCGAGGAAGAAATGATTTTTTTGCAACGGACCAGACCTTGTGATTTTGCAATGTTTTACCAGCAATTGGGATGTGACTAACGGTAACGATCGTGGTTGAAGCACACCAGGGATATGATTCGTATGTCCCATCTTATAGGAGGTGGCCTTAGGCTGAGATTGTTGGTTGGTTGGAAGCACTAGCGGATGCAAGCGACAGGCATGTATAGGTGTATGTAACAACGGATGAAGTGGCTGGGGGAAGTGGGTGAAGTTCATCCGCCGACTTGAGTGGCACGACCCAATATGAAGGAAGATGAAGGAAGTTTTTAAGGTATTCGCTATGGTAACAAGATGTTACAAGTTAGTACCACACAAAAAAATGGTTCGGGTTCACTTACAAGCCATAGATACGATCATCGTTACTACCACTTGCTACTAACTTGGAAAATGTTCGTGTGTAAGAGAGAGCTTTGACGTGGGTCCATACCCCGAAGAGAGTGGCGATTTGAACGCCATGAACATGGTTTGAATGAAGATGATGCAAATGATCAAATGTTGTAGTACTTCAATGTACTTAATTCTGCCCACCAGGTCTAAAGTTGCAAAATTACAACACTCATTTCCATGTTATGTATACTTATTTTATGAAAGCAGTTCCAGAGGATGGTATCATATAATATGATCGACCATGTAGAATTGTTTTGGGATGGTGTAGTTCTTGGGCACTCCATTCGCCATTTGGCTCATAACTTGGGGGAAACATGAAACGCTACGGACAAACCATGACAAACCATGTGAGTCATCTTGGAACCCAGAAAGATCTGAAAATCTTGGAACAATAGTTATCCAAGTTCCTGTATGTAAACATGACTTTGCTACTTGATGTGGTGAAATCACGGATGTTTCGGTAGTGAGTAGTGAGGGATCACTCGGCATTTGTTGTCTTGACATCTGGTGGCTTACTGTTCCGCTGAACGCCGAACTGTGCCAGACCCATTTTTGTTGGTGCCCCAAAGTTCACATTCCACATATAACATCAAGATACATCAAGCCTCGTAGGAAAGCTACCCAAGGCATTTCGTTTGTTGCATTTCGTTTCCAACTTGTGCCAAGGTCTGGTGTCACTCGGCGGCGCCGGTGAGGACATGGTGGGACATGCAGATCATATCGCTGGAGGGGTTCAACTTGCTCAAAGGCAATCTAAATCGATGTTTTTGCGATTCTTTGCATACCACAAAGATCAAAACATACTGGGGATTGCTATGATAGATACTCCCTCCCTGTTTCCGTTTCTTTCTCCTTGTTTGAACACTGCATTTGACGCCTGAAAAGGCTGTTGCAGGGAATCTCTTTATCTCTTTTAAGTGAAATTCACCAACCTAAATGATAGGCATACTTGACTTGTGATTCCAACAGATGTGTGATTTTCAAAAGTCAGTAGATTATACACTAATATAGATGATGCATACATACATACATATTTTATGCCAGGGAAGTCGTACAAAGCTGAAGTCACAACTGTCCGAAACACACTGTTTGACTTGCGTCATGTTTTTTTTGTGTTTCTTGGACTGGCACAGAGATTCTCCGACCCTGGTTTTGCGGAGCCCAAAACAAGCAATTTGTGCTGTTCCTCAGCTGAAACCAAGAGATTGGCAGCATTCGGCAGCCTTAAAGCTTTGATGCGCGGGCGGAAACGCAAAATCCAGCACAAGGCAAACACAGAATAAGACACAAACCGGAGATGACGAAAATGACCCATTTATAGATCGTTTACCTATCAAAAATGGTGATTTTCCATGGCTATGTTAAATAACCAGATGGTAGCACACAGAAAGATTCAGATGACGCTGCCGTTGTGTTCAGCTCTGCAGTTCACATGGTCTGGTGACACCCAAGCACAGCTACGGAGGTTCCCTTCATTTCTGTGTGGCAGCATATATGTTTTTGCTGTTCCTTATTTGTATTTCAAAGAATCCTTCACATGCGCCCCATACTTACTATGCGGTACCCTCTGGCAATTTAACATAGCTATTGAAAATGGCCATTTATAGTTGATGTTTCCCATTAAAAATGATTGTTTTTTATAATTATGTTAGTTTACCAGAGGGGACATGAACCAAATAAATCCATGTTCATGTAAATCCCCATGTAAACCAGCCCCAAGTGGTTGAGTCCAAACTTCACCTTCTAAAGATCAATTCAACCGTTGTTTAAGAGTGCCCCGAGCTTCTAAAGTCTTGGTCAAATTCCAACAAAACACCAAATATTTGGTTTATCCCATAGTTAGTCACTTTGAAATATCTATTAGTCACCTTTAGTGTCTAGTGAGTCACCACTAACATCTCTCTAAGTATATCGTCATTTTTGATGCCTGTAGATGTTTGCTTAGAACTCCCAAGGTTTCAGCAGGCTTCCACCATTTTATCCCCCATTTTCTCACCAATTTCCCTACAGGATGGTGTCCCCAAGTTATGTTTGTTGGTTTATAACCCCATCTAGACATATATTTCTTAAATATAATCATAAGTGTCAATATATAACATATGATATAATTCTAAACTATTTTTGTATCATAGTATATTGTAGTTTATTCCCACCTTTTGCTAGGTACTTTAATGTACTACAGTATATACATGTTATAAACATGTATAAACTATAATTATCATACTATAATTATCATAGCTATTCGCACCTTTTATCAAGATATCATTATTGTTATAACATAGTTACTATTGTTATACACTTAACAAATATGATACACTGTATGATGCACTATAGTTATACATCAACTATTGTTATACACTATTGTTGCACACTCTAGTATTATAAATGTGATATTTTACACTAGAGTATATTAAAAACATACTAATTATAAACGTAATGCAATATAGTAATATAAACTTTTATAGTTATAGTATACAATATTTATATATACATATATACACTATTGTTATAACATAGCTATAAACCAAACGTTCCCGACCTTTCTAAGGCACCTCCCCGAACTTCGGCGCTGGGCTGGGCCTTTGGGGACAGCTGCGGATCCAGAGTCCCGGAGCGGCACCTGGGACGAAATTTGACAATTACCATTAGATGGATAGATAAATGACTAATAATGGTTATTAATAGTGATGAATAGTGATTAATACCTGATTAATGGGGGTAAAATCTAGAGCAGGTTGGTGGTTTGGAACATGACTGGATTATGACCTTCCAGAGCGGGAATTTCATACTCCCAACTGACGAACTCCATCATTTTTCAGAGGGGTAGGGTTGAAACCACCAAGCAGATGGCGATTTGATGAGATTTCTGGGTGAATGGTCAACGATTTGGGAGAAAAAGCAGGGAAAAGCCATCAGAAACCATCAAAAAACGTGAAACAACGGAAGCAAACACTGCAGTAGAATAAACCTATCAAACAGTATCAAACATTGGAACGCATAACAATAAAGCAATAAACCGTTGGGGTTTTTATTTGTTTGGGCTTGGATGAGTCTTTTAGTACTGTACTTGGTTTATTGTCACACGTGGGAATATATTAACTGTAACATAACCAGCCAATTGACAATGTTTTGGGGTTAAGCAATAAACCAAAAATATCCAAAAACCAAAATTGAATAATCAACAAGTCAGATTTATACAACTGTCCGATACGGAGATTTTGGTCGACCTCTGCCGACCTCAACAGGTTTGGTGCCCTGGGATTGGCCCGGTGATAAAATGAGGGCCCAGTGCGAACATGGTGATGAAAATCATGATGAGGACAAGAATTAAGATCATGGTGATGATGATGATGATGATGATGATGATTATGGTGATGTTTATGTTGATGGTGATGATTATGGTGACAGTGGTGGTGATGGTGGTGGTGATGGTGATGATTATGATGATGGTGATGGTGATGATGATTATGGTGATTGTGATGGTGATGATGATGGTGATGGATGATGATTATGATGATGATGATGATTATGATTATGATTATTATGGTGATAGTGATAGTGATGGTGATGATGATGGTGATGGTGATGATGATGATGATTATGGTGATAGTGATGGTGATGATGATGATGATGATGATGTTGATGATTTTGGTAATAGAATTGGTGATGCTGATGATGATCATGATTATGATGATGATTGTGATGGTCATGATGATGAAAGTGATGGTGATGATGATGGTGATGGTGATGATGATTATGGTGATTGTGATGGTGATGATGATGGTGATGGATGATGATTATGATGATGATGATGATTATGATTATGATTATTATGGTGATAGTGATAGTGATGGTGATGATGATGGTGATGGTGATGATGATGATTATGGTGATAGTGATGGTGATGATGATGATGATGATGTTGATGATTTTGGTAATAGAATTGTTGATGCTGATGATGATCATGATGGTGATGGTGATAGTGATGCTGATGATGACGATGGTGACGATGATGATGGTGATGGTGGTAGTGATGATGATGATGATGGTGATGGTGTTGGTGATTGTGATGATGCTGCTGATGCTGATGATGATGATGGTGATGGTGATGATGACTATGGTCATGATTATGATGATGATTGTGATGTTGATGATGGTGATAGTGATGGTGATGATGATAGTGATAGTGATGATGATGATTCTGGTGATAGTGATGGTGATGATTGATGGTGCTGGATGATGATGATGATGATGGTGATGATGATGATGGTGATGGTGATACTGATGGTGATGATGATGGTGATGGTGATGATGATGATTATGGTGACAGTGATGGTGATGGTGATGATGATGATGGTGATGGTGATGATGACTATGGTCATGATTACGATGATGATTGTGATGGTGATGATGGTGGTAATGATGGTGATGATGATGGTGATAGTGATGATGATGGTGGTGGTGATAGTGATGGTGATGATGATGATGGTGATGATGATGGTTATGGTGATGGCGATGATGATGATGGTATTGATGGTATTGATGATGATGATGATGATTATGGTGATGTTTATGTTGATGGTGATGATTATGGTGATGATTATGGTGACAGTGGTGGTGATGGTGGTGGTGATGGTGATGATGATGATTATGGTGATAGTGGTGGTGATGATGATGATGGTGATGATGATGGTGTTTATGGTGATAGTGATGGTGATGATAATGGTGATGATGATGATGATGACTAGGATGACTATGATGACTATGATGATGATGGCGATAGTGATAGTGATGATGACGATGGTCATGATTTTGATGATGATTGAGTTGATGATGATTATGATGATGTTGATGAAGGTGATGGTGATGGTGATGATGATGATGATGATGGTATTGGTGATGGTGATGATGATGATGATGATTGTGATGCCTCTGGTGATGATACTGATGCTAATAATGATGCTGATGGTGATGATGATGGTGACGACGATGATGATGAGGATGATGATGATTATTAATGTTTTCTATATTTTTGATGATGATGATGACGATGATAGTGATTATGATGATGATGACTATCTATTTTTGATGATGATGATGATGATGTTTTATTACTATTATGATGATGATGACGATCATAATGATGATGAAGATTTTTTACTATTATGATGATGATGACAGTGATAGTGATGATGATGATTATTTTTATTATTTTTTATTTTTAGGATGATGATGATGACGCTGATAGTGATGATGATGATTATTGTTTTTATGATGATGATGATGATTATTAGTATTGTTGCTATTTTGATGATGATGATGGTGATGATGATGATGTTTTTTGTTTTTAGATCCTTTGATTTTCTTTGCCCAGGAAAAATCTTATTTTCATGAATCCCATGAAATCATATCATGTGATCCATACTGATACCGAGGCCATACAAGGCAAGCGTCGTGATGGTCAGTAAATGGGACCAGCCCCAAGAAAGCTCGGGTAAAATCGGGATGATATGAGGTCCATAGGTCCCATATTTGCGAGCCACTGGTTACTTTTTGAGTTCATCCCAGCATCTCAATCAACACCCCCAAACAACCATGGGATGGATGTCCCATCATGAGTTTCAGGGTGAAATGCCAAGATGAAAGCCTCTTGCGCATCAGAGGTCTTTCGGGAAGATATCGAGTTCGCACGCTATCGTCACTGGGTTGCAGTTCAGCCATTTCAGGTACCCACCTGGCTGCATTCGCAATCCAATCGATGGAAAAAAACACATCTCCGGGACCCTGGGATTCAAATTCCTCTGTCGATACTACATGGTGCTGGAGAAAGAGAGAGAGAGAGATAAACCCAAACAACAAATAGTGTTAAAATAAACCTTGTCTATTTGTTTTGGTGGTACCATACTACAGTCCCACAAAGCAACTGATTGTCACATTTACTCTCCACATCGAATGATAAACCCATGATATTCCGATCATATGTCCATTGAACATGTTGATTTCACTACTTCTTGGATGTTGGGAACCAGATTGGATCCGTGGTTTGCAATATAATTGTACTACAGATACCCTCTGGTTATTTAACATAGCTATGGAACATGACCCATTTACAGATTTTAGATTATTTATGATGGTTTACCTGTTAAAAATTGCGATTTTCGATAACTACTTCAAATAACCATAGAGTATATTTTAACTATATAACTATAAACCCAAATTTATAACCCTTTATTCCAACTGGGGTAATGGTTGGTCATAGTCGCTGTCAAAAATCACTAATCGATGCCTGGGTCCAGCAGTGCACCCCATTCACTGTTCTATCTCCCACAAACCATACTCAAGACACTTATGACAATTATGTTAAATTTTATCTACCAACTTGACTAATCCCATGGTCAATCCTACTTGGTGGCCCATCCCACTTAGTAAGTGGGTTATAACCCCAATTTTAAGTGGATTAACCCTAATTATCCCATTTATAACTGGGGTTATAACCCTAAGTGGGATGAACCACCAAGTAGTCATCACCAGACTGGGACCCACTCACAACTTAGGCCACCTCTGGGTGCCGAGGGCCTCGCACTACCACGACATCCGCTTCCCGATTTGCCCCGGCGGGGCCCGTTGGCTGTCCGTCATGAAACAGCTCTATGTGCTGGTGCTGTTGCCACCTGGCACTTCGGGGTGCCCGGAGCTTGGTTTTAGAGTTTTTAAAAAATGCTGGGGCCATGGCGATTTTACAGATTTAAACTGTTTACCAAAACCAACAAAGATGGAAAAATATGGAGTTCACCACCAGAAACTGATGGGAAACTTAGGATTAAAGCAGCAACAACAAGTGGAGCATAGGGATTTACACAGCAAAGATGGACATGTACTTGGGCGAGAGACGATGGCTAAGAAACCGGATGGATTGTAGGACTCGATCATTTTGCCATGGTGACTGGGCTACGCAGCTGGCCAATAGGTCTATCTAAGGAAGATGATCCCATTGAGTAGTACAAACTGGGGATGAGTTGACTGGTTGAAATCACCAGTCAGATTTGAATAGCGTTCGAGTCTTTTCACTGCTTGAATTGATGCTAAGGGTACCAGTGGGAGAAAGTAGAAACTGGTGTTTCCAGTCAAAACTTCAGCGCGAAGAGTTGTGATTCTCTCACCCCTGTCCCATGAACATGTTTTTCTGCCTAAATGGTTGGGACATCTTGGGACATCAAAAAACCGGTTTCTGAGAGCAGAAGACCTTGAATGTTCCCCCTTTGTAAAAAAAAATGTTTTCTTCGGCCACTTACTTGCGGGAATCTTTGTTTTGTATAAACCGACTCCCACCTGGGACAGACTGGGGCTGGCTAAATCTCACTAGCAATGCCACAAACATCAGAATCGACCAGCTTGGTCTCTGGGATGCGCTGATCGCAGCCGAGGCCTTATGTGATTCCCGCCATGTTTCTGGAATTTTTGATGTCGATTCTCTTCTGCCCCTTTCACAGAGAAGGGGGGGTGGGGCTGTTATGAAGGCGACACTTTAAAACCCCAAGAATCCCCAAGATAGACTCCAGTTGACTGAAGTGTGTTGCGACGGTTGTAAACCATTTTAGAAAAGTATACGGGTATGTCTATACACTTATTAGATAGGCTGGGGCGGCTGGGGACCCATGAAAACCCAATACTTCCATATATTTTTTGCCATTGCCAGATAGTCCATACGCCATCGCATCTTGGGAACATGACTTCAGAGGTGGCAGTGGAGCCTGCTTTACTCAAGGATGACAACCCTGGGACCGAGAAACCCACATCTAACACTGAGGTTATTGGATCATTTTCCAGTCCAGGTTGATGTGTCTCTTGAAATGTGGCTGGGCGAACGGGCGATGCCCCGATGCCCCGATGTCCCACTCAAGAGTGTCGCTGTTCGTTTTTGGGTGCTGAATTATGTTGAATCAATGTTGAACCGAAGCCGATAGGATGATGTACAGTGAGGTGGTATTTGGATGTATTTGGTTTGAACCTATCAGAAGTGGTTCTTTGTTGTCATGAATGTCTATATTCCGAGATCTAATCTGTCACACTAGCTGATGTCTTAATTTTCAAAGAGAAACCTATGGCTTTGGCATTGCCCATTTCCATCATTTCCTGGATATACTTCTGGTAGCAATGGGGCCCAATTCATGGACTCATCCTGAAATTTCCCAGGATTTCCCTATGCTGATGGGACAGTAGACATGGCTTCGATGGAACGATTTAGATATAGATTGGCCTAGTTTGACGAATAATTCTACTGGTTGGTGGTTTGGAACATGACTGGATTATGACTTTCCATATATTGGGAGTGTCATCATCCCAACTGACTTTCATATTTTTCAGAGGGGTAGGTATACCACCATCCAGTTGGATGTGGCAGCTATCAAATGAAACCATCAACCAATGCGTATGTCATATCTTGAAGCTATGCTAAGTAAGCATCAGTGATCAATGCTTGGCCCCTTGGCCGAGTCTATAGGCGCCAGGGCAGGAAACAGTCCAGGAATTGGATCACGTGGCTTTAACCAAGCAGTAAGGTAAACCCCGCAATAGTAGATGGATGTAGATGGCGAAGATTCGCCCTTATAATTGTGGATGTTGGCTAACAAACCCTTAATAGACTCTTCTTGTGCGGGGCCCATTTTCTGGGGGGGCTGGCTGAATCCCCAGATGAAACAACCAAGGTTTGCAAATCCACATCTTGATGATCTTCTGCATGTTAGCTTGGCCGTTTAGCTGCAAGGGCGCAAGATTTGCTTGATATTTATTGTTTGGTTGTTTAATGGGTTGATTGCTGGCGATGGAGATATGCCTTTAAACAATATTATATGATATATAATGTACATATGTTTGGCATCTACTTGTTTCTGTATCAAATAATACATATAAACATGAATGTGTGTGTGTATACATGTCAACTTGTAAAGTCCCACTGGGAACTAGATAGTTCTTTTTAGAGAAAGAGATGCCATGTTGAATGTGGCGACGTGCCTTCTTGGGGTTGCTGTACAATGTGGGCCCCCCAGTGATGTTTGTTCGTTAACCCTCATGAATACTCTCGCTGTAAGCATCAAAAACTATAGTTATTAGTTATTAGTGTCTTAACTATCTTGGGGGGCCCACTTTGTATGTTTATAAGATTTTATAAGTATATACATACACACACATATGTATATATATATATATTGATATATATATATATATGGATTATTGCATATATATAACATATATGTATATTTATATATATAACATATGTATATATGTATATATTTTTTATTTATGTATGTATATATTTACTGTATGTATATATCTACATATATTGCAAACATATGTTTATGTGTATATATATATATATGTATATTTATATTTATATATATATTGTATGTATATTTACATATATGTATTTATATTCATGCACATTTATATGGCAATAAGTTGCATTTTCACATGGACATTATATATGTATATATATATATACAATTACAATGTGTATTTAAATGTGTGCATTTTTTTTAAACATACAATGTATATATATATATATATCTTTTTCTCTCTCTATCTCTGTGCATATTTTTAGACTTGAACACGCCCACACACACACACCATTTGTTTGTACGTGGGCCCAATTCATCGCCAGCTATCCTTGACAGTTCACATGGCTTGAGGTTGCTTTCATTTGGCCACCTTGGTTCCAATGGGCAGCTCGGCCACAAGGGACCTGACGGTGGATGTTGATGGTTGATTTTGCACCATAAAACCAGGACAGGTTGAATTCCTGGTGTCACTATTTACCCCAGTTTCTCATCAATAAGAACACATGAGGGTATCAAGTAGTGCGTACTTCACCACTATAACGGGATGCAATCCAAAGAATTTTTGAACAATTTTGACGGAATTCGTTGGCCATAGGGATGTAAGCTGCACTGGAGCAGAAACACTGCGGGGAAGCTCCTGATGTTGGGATTGGTGGCCATATCCCCTTGAACATCTTCAATGACAGTCTCAAATACGGTGCTTTTGGAATGTGCTGGAAGATGTTGGAAGTCAATGCCAAGTCGTGGCTGTAGTCGGGTTCAAAGTAGGCGTTTTCCCTTGAATTTTGATATGCCATTTACACTGGTTAAATCCAGGTTTTTAAATCAGTACATACACTGCTTAAAACCATCCACATCCCATAGCAGCAGCCGAGCCACGTTGTTGCACTTGGAGAATCATCTCACTAAGATTCCACCTTTGTCGTTGAAAACCATGGTTGGGAAGTCTCGGATTCATAGGGTTGTCTGGGTAAATTATAACGACCTCACTGCGACCGAACCCTGGAATCATGGTTAGTAAGGGAAATCATCCCCAAATGGCCGAACTATTCAGGTTAGTGAATTATTATAATTTACCCGGATATGATCGGATATGTATGTATGTATATATATATATATATGCATATTATACATATACATTGTTTTATTAGACAACAGCCCTGATGGAATGAAACAGGTTACAACGATGCATGAAGTACCCAGGATCGCCCGATATTGGACGAGCCTCTGGCCCTTTGTGCATCTGGGCGGCGGGCGTTTTTTTAGCGCCCTGGGGCAGGGATGGAAATGGAGAAACCCATTAAAAAAACAATGCAATAGCCATACAATAGCCATAAAATACTGTGTTTTGTTGGGAAAAATGATGTGACATCTAGATTTGATGATGATGATTTGATATTTTCCCAGCGGTTCGTCCACCATTTGGATTCATGTGGGTCATTTGCAAGGAATTGTGTTTTTTTTTTGGGGGGGGGGAGCCTTGAGCAAATCCAAGTATAAACATGGGCATGGGTCAAATCAAAACCATCATCTTGTTTCCAAGATTGAAGATTATAATGAGATTTAGTAACCATATTGGGGATATAAAGGCATACATGACAAGCTTGATCTGATATTTAGGTGTAATTATCCGAACATAGGGATAACACCAAATTTATGGCATCATCAATCAATTTGGTGGGCACCTTATTCTCAGACAAACTGACTTGGAAACAAAAGGTACTGTATAAAGTGGCAAAAATTGGATATTGGCTGATAGAAAGGGTATAGTAAGTCGCAAAGCTTATCGTGCGCAAGGAAACGGAAACTGATTCAAAACAGCTTCATTTCAGGCTTGTGAATTCAACACAATTTGCCAGGTTCATATCTAAAGGTGTGCAGTCTTGACAGATGGCAAAACAGAGAGAGAGAGATATATATATATATGTACATATAATGAGGTATATATATGTATGCATATAATATGTGTACAACTACCGGGTACTCACGCTGTGGTGAATAATGCCATACACCTTGACATACTTTTTTGTTTGTGGCTAGATGGGTCAAGCAGATCAGCTGCGGGGAGCATCCCCCCAATCAACGGAGATTTTCCAGCAAGCCACGTTTGACTACCGGAGGGTATAAGCCCATAGTCACTATAGTCCATTCATATCCCAATTTTATCCCATTGGCGAAGCCCATGGTTCATTACCGGAGGGTATATCGTAGTGATGATTTTTGATGCTTTACCTTCTGGAAAAAATATGGTATATCTTTGCGAAGTGGCCAGCCGCTGGCCCATTAAGTTCGATGGTTTACCGTTTTGAGTTCCATGGTGATCATCCATGGCTATCTTAAAGATAAACATGCCCATGTGCCAATTGGATATGCAGGCGGCACTAGTTTTGACCAACTAAATACTACTGCCATTCATCAAATGGTAGGACGAGCAATAAGGAGGCAAACAGGCAGACCATATTTTCAAAATTAAAATGCAACCATGAAACTTGCGTGAAAGCCAGCAAAATATTTATCTATATATTCCCAATATGTTCCAGTTTCCCAATGATTTATATATTGTTTGACATTGTTTTCCAGTTTTTCTCCCATTGAGATTTCCTCAATCATGCCTCAGGTACATGTATTTGGTCTACATTTTCGCCTCCTTTGTGGTTCCGGTCTTGATGGCCGTGACCTACGGCCTATTCAGCGGCCGCACGACCTGGGAAAACATTTGGTGAAAGCCATGCCATGGTCATATCTTTGGGCTTACTGACTTCCTAGCTGTTTTTTTTGGGGGTTTATTTGGAAAAAAAACACTTGGGAATTCCGAAAAGACTTCCCTAAGGATTTAAGCTGAAGAGAATTGGTTGAACTTCAGCTGCTTTCCGGCAGCGGTTTAGTGCAGTACATTGTCTTTCATGTCTTTCGCAGCCAGTGCCACACATAGAGAGATACCATCAATGAACCTTGCCATTGTCGTTGGGGGTTGGAAGACTACCTCCCTCTATAATATAAAATATTGTGTTTCTTAGGGTCCAGCCAGCAATTACAGTAATTAGTTGGTGGGACTAGTTGGCAGATGAAGGGAGTTCCCTGTATGTGTTTGCATGTGATGCGCCAACGCATATTGCTACAAGATGGTGCAATAGGGCGCATGTGTAAGGTATGTAGATAAGCTGGCGGCCATTTACTTTCAGAATGCAGAGAGAGAAAGAGAGGCATTCATGTATTTATGTATATAATGTATACATATTAACTATATGTATGCAATAACCTAGATGTATGTGGATGTGCTTTGTACATATATACACATATATAGTTACATGCATGAAATTAGCAAAGTATACAAACAGATAAAATGACATGTCAAACCAAAAAGACACGGACATTCACAACAAACAAACACCCGTGAAGTAAAACATCAATTATTCAAGACACGTGCACACTGACACATATACGGGCACATATATATATATATATGACATATGTATATGCATAGAAATATAGATGTATACATATTGTTTGCATATATAAATGTATGCCTTTGTTTATTCTCTCTCTCTCTATATATATATATATACGCACATATATACACATGCACATACATAATAACATAGATGCGGCATTTGATACCTCCCTTGCCTTTATGAGGTTGTGCTATCCGTCAAATTATCAAGGGCATTGGATGCCACGGAGACTCCAAACGTGAACACCCGGGGAAGATCCACAGCACGGTTCCGTGGCAGCACTGTGTTTATCGGTATAGACTGGGTAAACCCTGGTGAAATTGCTTCGTGATTTTTCACTCATGGGTTGGTTTGGGATAAGCAACTTGAAAGTGAAGGTATACTGTACACAGATCAGAAACAAATATGTATACACCAGAAGCCATGGGGCCATGGGTATTTGAGTTGGGTAAACCATTCGATGAAGGATAGATGCGGGCTAGGTTTTCGGTCAGTGTGATGGGGAATATGTCAAGGGTATTCAAGGCATGCAGAGGGAATTATGACAAACGCATTTCCAAAAATCCTAATCATGAGAATTCAACGCTGTATAAAGGATATGAACTCACAAAATTGGGAAACTACCGATGACATGTAGCCCATCGATAAACTATACTGGTTTCTTATCAACCTATTAAAAGAGAGATTTAGTTTCTAGATGTTTCTAGCCTAGCGAGGTTTTTGTGGGAGGAAACCTTGAACCACCAGATCACCAACTGTACCAGCGTGCTTTTTGCTAAGAAAGATGGGAGATGTGCAAACAACTGTGGGCAGACTTTCCCACAATCTAACATGGCATGAATCAACAGGTTTGCCAGATGATTTCCCATTGGGACCATGTTCGATGAAAAATTGCACCCTCCTTGTGACAGTCCAGACCCAACAAGTGGGATTCCATACCATCCAAAAATTGTATTGTGGGTTGGTTAAATTGTTCTAATTCCATATGATGAATATATATATATATATATTATGTGTGTGTATGTTTGTTTCTATATTTCAGATGGCTAAAGTTGAAATCCATGAGCATTATTCCTTTTTTTCCACAGTAGATTGGTAAACGTCTCTTGTTTTTTTCCATTTTTTTTTCTAAGGTGAACCTCTTCGTGCACTTGTGCGATGCCGACGAAAATAGCCGCTGTGGCCGATGTTACAGATCCCTCGAGCGGTGGCATCTTGGATCTCTTGGATTTGCCGCCAGGGCGGCCCAAAGCATCCGGGACATGGGATGAATGGCCAGCGATTTGACCAATAAAACCTGCGATTTGACCACAAGGAAAATAGGGAGTTATAGGTGATTTATGGGCTGCCGTGGGGTTATGGGAATTTAATTAACCATGGCAGACTGATGAATCCGGGTTCATGCGGGGAAAATCGTGATTTATTTTTGAGATGATTTATGATACAGCTCAGCTAAGTTGTCTTCTTGATTCACGTTTGTTTTTTTGACATAACTGGGGGCATCACCTTGTAAAATAAATGGTGGATGCCACCAGTTAGGGGGATAAAAGAAACAAACATGGGAAATAGGATAGGGATAGCACATGATAACACCAACAGTGACCAACAGAACGAAAAAGACAGGGATTTACCACCCATATCGGGTCTTTCTATGTTTGTACGCGAAGGAGAGTTATGTTGACTCTTTAAACCTTATCCCAGCTTCCCCCCAAACCCATCTGGGGTGTTGGGAGCAGCCCTGTATCACTTGGGTGATCCCCTCACAGTTACACCTGTGTCACATACTCCACTTGCTGTACCAATTAGCCTCTGGTGTCATCAAACATGGTTAGCTGGAAAATCTCCCAATTAATCGGGCATAAACATGGGGAAACCATCCAACAAAATGGATCAAAATGGGCTATTTTCCAGCAAGCCATTCTGAGGACACCTGAGGATACATCCAGTGGGGTGAGTCTCCACATGCCTAGAGATTGGATGACGAGACGGGGCAGGGAAATCCACGGCACCAAGCTTTTTTTTGGTGGTAAAAACTGTGTTTTTTTCGGGTAGAAATATTATCCCTCAAATCATGGGGATCAACAACTGGTTGTGGCTTCAACTAAACCTTGATTTATCATTTGTATTCAATCCCCACATAGTGAAATATATGTGAAATGGCAAAAGGATTTACCACATGATTGATATGATTGGCGAATGAAGCTGAACACCGGGGAATCAACAAACCACCGAAAAGGTGAAGACATTGAGAAAATCAACTAAGTTGAGTCCATGTCCATGTCATGACATGGCCGGTATAATTACACACTATGGACACCCAGCCCGGAAGATCAGCAAATCACGTCCCAAATGGGTGACCCCTTGTAGATTACGCTTCGACATTTGCTACCGACCTCGTGACATCTGGTGAAGGGGAATCATCCCCAAATGGCCGCACTTTTCGGGCTTTAGCGTTCGAATTCATCCACCCAGAAATCTAGGTCTAAAAGTATAACCAGAAATCTAGCCATGATACCAAATTAAGTCCAAATTATAACCCCATTATGGAACATTATGGTTTGTAAATCCCATGTGTTCCTATGATACAGCCCGAGCGCTGGTTAAGAATCCGAAAGCTTGAGGTCCAGGGTCCTTCAAATTCTTATTTTTAAATGCAGGCGAATTTACACCACAACAGGCCGAGGGTCCCTCAAATTCTTAGGCCATTCTTAGTTCTGTATTGCATGCATCTGCACAAGTTGGAGCAAGCTTAAACGAGGTAACAAGGTGGAGTTGGCAGATTTGACAAGAGGCATGCGAAAAAAATATTTTTTAGAGCCTGAAAAATTGATTTTGCAAAGCCGGGTTTGTCTGAGTTTCATGAGAGCAGTACCGGAAAAAAAAAATAGAGCCAGAAAAGTTGTTTTTTTTGGTAAAGCCAGGCTAGTATGAATTTTATAAGGTTAGTGCACAAAAAAAACATTTTTGGAGTCTGAAAAGTTGTTTTTTTGCAAAGCCGAGCTTCTCAAGTTTCATGCGAGCAGTGCGGAGAAATAAAAAAATAGAGCCTGATTATTTTTTTGCAAAGCCATGCTTGTATGAATTTTTATAAGGTTAGTGCGCAAAAAAAATCGCAGCTTGAAAAATTGATTTTCTGCAGAGCCACAGTTGTCTTCAAGTTATTGGGGAAAACAATGTTTCAGGTCCCCAAGCCTACCCACATATGTATTTTGGGTGGATTGGAAGCAGTGCAAGCATGCGCGAAAAACAAAAATCGGAACTTGAACAATTGTTTTTCTGCAAAACCCAATTACATCCCGTAAGACAATATAAGGGGTCACGCCAAAAAATGAACCGCAAAGGGGAATCGCAAACCTCACGTATAAGCAGTAATTTAAGAATTTGGCAATCCTATTCCAGGGTCCCTCAAATTCTTAAAATACTATGTGTTTGGTATACCTGAAAATATGTAGCCCGCCTTGGATTCGAGCCCCTCAAATTCTTATACAGTGAATTCTTGTACAATACTCAAGCTGTATTCTCGGTATTGGTGGTTCATGATAGCTAAGTGTTGTAACTAGGGCAACTATAGAGTTACCAACAGCACATGTTTTCTCCAAAAGATAACTTATTCATCGTTTGGGGACACCACCTTGGTGCTAACAGGTATGGCTTCATGATGCCCCATCGAGAGCTGCAATTGGAGGAGGAAGATCGCGAGTTGTTGTTGCGCTCCTCGGCCAAAATGGGAGCAAAGCAGCCTAAAGGACACTGGCAGGGCGTTCTGGAGTTCATTCATGCGACAAGCGGGTTCCCAACTTTAGGGCCTTTAGGGTTCGCAGTCATACTGAACCAATCAGGTCCCGAAGTTTCTTGTCTTTTTTGAATTTTTGAACCTACTGGAGATATATCACTTGGGTGCTGCATCTCCCAAAACAACTAGTGACATGAGTTTCCAGCCCTTCTATAGTTCTCGCAGCTTGTGGAAACCTCCCCTGCTGCTGGCAGTATTCCTCGGGCTCAATTCAGCACAACAAAACACTGGTGAGGATGGTGACCTCATCGCTTGATGACTTGGAAGTTTGGACAGTCGCCATCAAAAGGTAGGAGATTGTATGGGCATGTACGGGGTAAGTATGTATAAGGTATGTATAAGGTATGTAAACACAGAAAGCCAAAGGATTGACAGAGAGCTGTTTGGTTTCCTCTTTCTAAAGAAACAACCAGGAACAGCGTCAAGTCACGAAGCCTTGATGAAATGTTTGTGTTTCGAGACTGCCATCGGCCCTCGCACTGACCATGGCGGATGAGGAGATGTCCAGCGACGTGTCCAAGCTCACGGCTGGCATGGCCAACTTGGTGTCTGCTATGGAGCCCACATCACCTGAGGTGATGCGGGCAGTCAAGGCGTGGCAAGCTCTCCGTTGCTGTGGCCGTGGAATGCAATTTCACGGGGATGCCTACCACGAGAGCCGCCAGGCTCTTAAGATCAAGCACTTCTGGAGTCATAGCTGGCAAGGGAACCGGCGAAGTAAGATCTTAACCCTGCTCTTTCTATACAACCATGAGGTCGCCGTGATGTTCGCCACCTTGGGGGCTCTTCTAGTTTCAGGCCTCTTTGCGGCAAAGCTGCTGCCAGGTCCCAATTGGGAGAAGCACAGGGACGTATGGTCTACTCCTCGCGGATACTGGGCCATGCTCGTCGGGCCTGTGATGTACTGTGCGTTCTTGCTGTTTTGGCGGCCACAGCAGCAAATCTTTTTGGATGTCATGTGCATCAATCAAAAGGATTCCGAACAAAAATTTCACGGACTGTTGAGCATGGGCGCCTTCTTGAAGTATTCCGACTCTTTGCTAGTTTTGTGGGATCCATCCTATACGCACCGGTTGTGGTGTGTATTTGAGCTGGCCGCGTTTCTGCATAGCCACCCAGCAGAGAGGAAGCCGCAACTTCTTGTGCGGCCTCTGATTTTGGGTCCATGCTCCGTCTTTTTAACACTGACCATGGTGGTGGTGGTCAGTGCTTTGACGTGGATACCAGAACAGTACAATGGTACCAACCCCCAATATCTCGTAATCTTGTGGGTAAGTCAAGCCTTCATGCTGCTGGTCGCATTGGCTGGGATCATTTCCGTCACGCGGCGCTACTTCCGGGCCGTCGACAACTTGCGGATGGAGTTGAGGGCGTTTTCGATTGAACAGACGGAGTGCGACTGCTGCAAAAGAAACCATGTCGATCCTCAAGGAAATCCAATTCCGATTTGTGATCGGCAAGTGCTGCTGCGATGCATCACCACTTGGTTTGGCAGCCTCGAAGCCTTTGAGAAGATGGTCCAAACAGATGTCCTGAAATACCTTTTGGAGGATCTATCCTCAAAGTTCTTCACCTACCGACATTGTGTTGCTGCCTGGGTTTGCTTAAAGTGATATGAGGTATTTTGATGTGATAACTGTGTATTTTCCTAATGGCAATCCACCGTTTGGATCCGGGTTTATGTTATGCGCTTTGTTTTGTTTTTTTCGTGGCCAGCAAAAAGTCAAGGCTGCTACAATCCCGTTCCTGTGGGCCGGCCTGGACGCATCAGCAGGTCATGTGCATTACCTGGACATTTACCCCACCATAGAAATGGAATTGCCGAGTAAGAAATGGCGATTTTCTCTTGACACCGCTCTTCGAATAGCTGGCTGGTGGCTGGGGCTTGTGCCTGTTGTCTTTCTGTTTGCTCTTCGACTGTCCTGCGCTTTTCGGCAAAACTGCGGAAGAGTGGGCGATGTCTTGGTGACCGCATTCATTTTGCTGTGCACGGTGGCTTTTGCCATGGCCTTTGTGCTGTTGGAGCAGCAGAAATGGACGTTTGAGCTCTGGGCACGAACTGAATTGGAGGTCGAACTCGTGGATCTCAGAGAGGCCCTTTTCCTCCTCATTTCCCTGCTGCTTGCAGGGCTGGCATTCGGTTGCATTGGCACATACCCACGGAGTTTCAGCTCGGTGGAGGTCCAGCAGCCCAGGGATCCAAGGGCGGAAGAACTGGAGCCTGCAGCCGGAATCTAAGCTTTACATAGCTTTACCAAGTCAGATGTTTAGATTTTCAAGTCGTTGTTTTAAAAGGTTGATGACCTTTCCCTGTAGTTTCACTTCATTTTTTTGCGAGCGCCGAGCAGGTTGGGATGGCTGAAGGGCCATCAAAGGATGGTGCTTGTCTCTTTGCACTCGTCGACCAGATACGTCGGGAAATGATACAACATGCTACAACCCTTTACCATAAGGGCGGCCCCAGTTCGCTTACAACTTATAACCACATCATACCACATCTATCATCATCTATACATACACCATGAGTCTGAAGGATGTTGAAGGACAATCCGTTGCCGCCTATGAGGCTTGGACGAGCACCGCTTGACCCAAGACTTTCAGTTCAAGCGCAACACGCACACCAGTGCCTCGACATTGCTTCGGTGCCGTGGTTGTCTCCACTTATATACGGATATATTATTGATATACGGGAGAAGCATGAACGTCATGATTAAAATCATGATCAAGGTATATCAGAGTCATGATGAGAATCATGAAATCATGAGGAAATAACTTTACCATACTTTACCAATGAAAAGACATGAACCTAGGTTTAGGATCTTTTTGAGGATTTGTATGTTTGACAAATGCCATATCGTAGCGTTTGACTCAACGAACCATGTCCCTGTTTTAATGCCTACATTGGAACAGACCCAACTAAGAAATAAACGTTATTTCTTATTACTGTTTCCTCAAACTTGATTGCAGTAAATAAGCGTTATTTGTTTTAACTACCATGCTCTAACACCAGTTTTGTTGATATCTTATATTTGATGTCAATCCTTTTCCTGACTCCCGCGGTACGCGGTACCATTTAAGATAATTCAGGGATGGGTTAAGACATTTTTTCCCGAGTAAATCTCAGGAAATCCTCTTGAATTTCACATGGATCTATATGGTTCCCATATCATACCTGAATATCTATAGTTGGGATATGTTGGGATATAACCCTACAACTATGGTTGTATATCCACTTACAACTGGAATATCTATATCTATCTCTCTCTCTATATATATACATATACTGTATGTGTGTGTGTGTGTGTGTGGTGTGTGTGTGTGTGTTTGACCTCCCAAAAATACATTGCAACCATTGAACTTCGGATGTCAACTGGGGCTCCTGACCATGCCTGAGGTGATGCCATCGAGCGAATCCGCTGTCAGTTGATGAAGCTGAAGCTCGGCGCCAGTTTCGGTCAGTGGCAGCACTCAAAAATCTGGGGAAACATCGTCTATAAGAGGTTTGGACATTTCAACTTTCAACTTATTTGATCATGTTTGATCTATCTTGTGGGGGGACATATATGGGAATATCATGGAATATCATGAAACATCCCGTACAGCTACAAGATGCTCAAAACACCCCCTAACCTTCTAGTTACCTTTGGGACAGGCAACCACTTCAGTTACCCATGAGACAGGTAACAAACATAGTTTCCGGAAGTAAGGTTTGATGTAGCGATTGGAACCGTAAGAAAATGCATTGGAACGTGAAAATATACCTTGAAACCGCTAGAACATGAGTGGAACCGTGACAAACCAGTTGCTTCTATTTGTGGTTCCTCGCTGGCAGCCTGGTTCCTAAAACCGTCGCCAAGGCCAGGCCTATAGTTACCTTTGGGAAAGGTTACCAGGAAGACTAGGAACCTTCTGTGAGGCGTTTGTCTGAATTTTGTTCCGAGAGGCGAATATAGAAAATATGTGGAGCAGGTGGAGTCTCTAAGGGCCAGGAACAATAAAGAACAACTTGAATTTGCCATTTTGTTGGGATTTGTTGGGTCTTTGTTTTATATTCGATGCTTTTGCAACCCCCATTGGTGTAGATTTGTGAAATGAAGATCCGAGAAACCCAATACCCTTTCTTTTGGCTACTTGCACCATATGCAAATGAGTCTGGTTCAGAATGGGTGACCCTAAGTTTGACGGTTTTTGAAGTTTAAACGCGTTCTTTCCCATCCATTTTCACAGCCAAATCTCAGATCAGGTGGCATACATCTTATAATATACCCATTGTGTTTGTTCCATATATATATATAGCTATAGCGAAGCCAAAATGGACAAGTTGCAAACCTGAACGTATGAGGTAATTATAGTCTAAAATCATCGTGGAAACATTGTTTCTATCTTATCTGGGGTTACTAAAAGTTAAAAAGCAGCTCAAAGATGGTAGTTTTGGGATGTTTTTGTTTTCAATATATATATATATAAATACATAAATAAATAATCCGGCCAGGGGCCCCCTGGCCGTGTCCTTGCCGTACGGCAGTTCTCTCCTCTCCGTAGGAGAGAGGGGCCGCCGCCCCTGCCGCCGACCTCTCCCCCCCGCCAAAAAGTCCCGCGTTTTACGGTGTTTTGTGCTCTTCCCATTTCCTTTTTTTTCGGAGCTTGTGGCTCAAGATGGGTCAACATGGGCCAACATAGGCCTCAAGATGGGCCAACATAGCCCCAACATGGGCCAACATAGCCCCCAAGATGGGCCAACAATAGCCCCAAGATGGGCCAACATAGATGGGCCAACATAGCCCCAAGATGTGCCCACATTGCCCTCAAGATAGGCCAACATAGCCCCAAGATAGGCCACCGACCATCAAATATCCTGCGTTTTACAGCGTTTTTTGGCTGTTCCCATTTTTCGGATCTTTTCGCTCCACATGGGTCAACATGAGGCCAACATAGGCCAACATATAGATAGCCACAAGATGGGCCAACATAGTTGGGCCCCTGGCCGGCTGTCGCGCGTAAGCGCTTGAATAGTAACTTGTAAAGGCAATAAAGTTACCATCTGGAAATACGTAGCAGTTTATACTTCCCACTGCAGCTGGCCGTCACTTGGAGCCAGGATGTTTCTCGCGTGTTGGTC